GCCCGTGCAGTGAGATTTACGCCTCGTATGTCGACATCGTCTGAGCCCACATCGCCCCAGCCCTGGACAACTTCGCCATCGGCTCCATGCGACGGCACAGTTACATCCGATCCGCTCCTACGGAGGCTGTGACGGCGGAGCGCCTGGCGTGCGGGCTGAAGGCTGACGGCACCATGTTCAACAGCACGCCAGAGCTAACCGTCAGGAGACTGCTCCACGAGATGAGGCGCCGGTACCGGCCGCCCCGGCCGCCACGGGGGCAGGTACACGTGCGGAGGGGTCACTGAGCGTCGTCTGCGGCCGGCTCCAGGCGCTCCAGACTCTGACGCGGCACCGGACAGATGGCCGACAGGTGGCGTACACCTGGACGAGAGCTAACTCGGCACGCGGAGCCACGGCAGGGAGCGAGTGGACGGCACCCAGGCCACCATAGGCACCACCGCCACCCATTCAGGAGACCGAGAGATTGGGAACGTTTCATCGTGGTGGCGCTGGACCTGCCAACCGGTCCATCGACAACTCCTGCCCGAGCTTCACGCTCAATAACACCAGCGGCGAATGTTACGGCGAGACGAAGAGCGACCTGTTCCTCCGCCGGCTGACGACACAGCTTCGGCCCTCACAAAACGCGCTGTCGGAGCTGGCACTGAACAGCGCACCGCACGGCAGCACGCTGACGGGGGGGGGGGAGGGGAGCCGCTGCACCAGGTCAGTTACCACGACAGCCGACCGCCACCACCCGCTGTTCAACGAGGGATCGCGTTCCCACCGGCTGCCTCTCACGCGACGTGAACTGCCGCTGGTTAGTCAGTGGAACAGCCGAGCCGCAGCGCATGTGATGGGTGACCAAATCTGCCAGCAAGGTTACGAGGCGATCTGCCTGCCCACCCGCCGCTCCACCTGCATGTTGTCAAGTGCTGTGCTTAAGGAAATCCAATCCAGTCATCCCTATGGCGACTTATCTGCGCCGGCCTACAGGCCAGGCTGGCTGAAGCGAGGATGCGCACAACAGGTGAGGTATAGACTGGCACCAGCCCAGAACCCATTATCATAGAACTTGCTTGATTGAGATAAGAATGGGAATGACTTCCCCTGGATGATGACTCAGAAAATGACCAGTAATCTATACAGTAACTTAAATTCCAGACACAATCTAACAAGGTGTTTCCGGTATAGACAAACTGCAAATAGCTTATTTATTCAGTTATATGCTTGCATACTTAGTTCTGACCAACATAGTTCTACCAGTGGTTACATACCAACATAGTGATCTAGTGTTAACCAACCAGTGGTTACATACAACATAGTTCATACCATACCAACAGCCCTTCTGTTGACCTCACTGAAATTATCACAGAATATACTGTGTCATGCCTCTTCACATGCGACTATGCTGTGATATGTAACAAACATTGCACAAAGTTCAAACAAGGATGAAATTTGTTTAAACAAGGAAACCATCCACACTGGTCATCACAGGGAAACAGCACAACAACATAATGCTGCCCATCCATATCTAGCAAATTTGAATGCACAAACTGTCCCAACTTTCCCTGACAGCACTTAGCCTTGATCCTACTAGAACACTGGAACTGCTTTATCATCTCCATTGAGATTCCTACCCTAGCATGCACTGTGACTTGACTAACACAATCTACACTGTGATTAAGTCTTTTAAAAGCCAGGTTCAGAATTGCATGGCTTAGCAGGATATGGTCTAGTAGAGCATGGAAATAGGACATCATCTAAAACACCAGCTGCAAAAAGCTTGATCGATAATAGACAGCTTGTTTGGAAACCAGAAGCATTTCATAGAAAAAGCTGCCCAAAGTAGTTTGATGCCAGTGGTAGACTTGCAATAGTGATACCTGTAGAAAAACCTTGCAGGTAATGAGAAATATGTTTAAAGTTGAGTTTGGCTTAGGAATGGTAAGGGCAGCATATCCTGCCTAATTTGTTTGGGAAAGCTTTTAAAAGCTTCCCAGTGATGCACAGAAAGCTTCAAGTGAATTTTATTATCAATTTTGGAGGCACTCCCATGCCTATGGCTCATTATCAAATTTTCTGATCATATCTATATTATCAATGCTTATATAGCTCCATTATCCTCGATTTTTCTGTATGGAATGGATAGACCATTACTGCTGCCTCATCTGTCTGATGATTTCCTTAAGCCTACACACTGTGCAGTGCCCATTGTAAATTTTACAGTGTTTATATGCCATAGCAATACTCAGCAGTGACCAATACTGGCTTGTTCATGGCCAGCTGCCAACTGGATATTGCTGAGAAGGTTCAATAATCAAGCAGGGTTTCTGGGACGCAACCCACAACTTGCCGCCTGCAGTCAGGTATCCATCACCCTACCAACATAGCATTGGTGATGGCTTACATAACTGGATTGCAATAAGGCACACATAACAGCCATCATTCTTCACCAACGCGAGCATGAATTGCAAACCATGTCATTTGTCTTACTAAGGTGTGCCTATGCGGGGTCAAGGTGTGCCGACGTCCACAAAATGCTAATGAACTTCACACCGAAGAAAAGACAGCCTCATATGCTCCAAGCATCTCTGAAATGACCAGAAACAGGCAAGAAAAAAAAACAAAAGCTGATATCATCTGACTATCTCGTACCAACGAAATTACCTACCAGTCACCCGAAACTTTCACACCAATGCAAACAGTGTGAAAATTTACCAGTTGTCGCAGAGTCGCCATAATTGTAACGTGAAGATCCTGTCCGCACAATTTATTCAGTTATCTATTTAGTGACGACCTCCGATTTCGATGAAAACGTGTCTCCTGTTTAACCAGGGCTTAAGAACAACGAAAATGACGTTGATTAAAATATTATGTGACCTCCAAGATAATTGAAGGTCGGAGCGCCGGAACTCCCATCACATCCGCGAATATGCTTAGTACCAAAACTTACTAAGAGGGGAAATATTCTTTAGCACTGGTCGCTACTAAGCGTGGCGCAGCCTATTATCAGCGTGTAGTAAAGGCCGATTACTGTAGCGAAATTACATTACCTGAAACAGAACCGCTTCAGTTGTCTGGAAAGTGCTTTGATAGAGGGGCATTATTAGAGCCTAAAAAGTAATACACATCTTGGAATATCTATCTGGTTGTGACCAGCGGTGGTGTGTAAGGTGAGGTTTTGTTTAATTGCAATGATGTTATTTAAGGAAATTTTAATGGCTGTTTTATGAATTACTGACCCCAGGCATTTGGGGAGCATAATTCTGCAGGCACCCAGCAGTCTGGCAGTTGCTTCATCAAAACCCTGTCCTCTCCATGTGCAAATAAATTTGTTTTAAAACATTTGCTCTGCAAGATTTAGGGTAAGCATTTTAAGTTATGACTTCTGAAATCAGAGCCCATTCTGGGCTTGCTTGTTGCATTAGCTGTGACAAGGAAGCTCCAGATACAGCATTGTTGCAGCATTGTGTGGTAAAAGTTAAACATGTTAAACTCATTGCTTGGAATGGCCTGTCCTGACCTCTGACATCAAAGGATGTTTGTATGGTGGTCACAGTAGTTGACTCATTACTAAAACAGTGTGATGCGACCTGTGTGTAGAGTACAGCTTACTTAACATGTTAGTGTTAGGTCACAGCTCAACATCACAAGCTGTATGTTCATCTGTTAATTAAAAGATCACTTTAGGTCATCAAGACCCCTTTATAAGTCACAGCTTGGACTGAGCAGTTGCTAAATGATGTGCATCTCAATCTTTACAGCAACAAAAATCATTTCACTTTTTAAGTAAGGCCTTGAGTTATGTAACATGGCTTACAAGGTTTATTATAGGTATTTGAACATTGATAAGACAGTAGTAAAATATTCGTTCCTTAGAAAGAAACCAGGAGAATGGAGATATAGAGGTGCTAATATTTTGACTATGTGCCTTTATCAAAGCAATAGCAGAAATGGATATGCAAATTCAGAGGTGATTTTGGAATTAATATGAACAGCAAAAGTTAATTCACTTCTGCCATTGTTTTGATAAATGCATGTTGCCAAACTATTGACACATCTTTATCTCCATTCTCATGGTTTTTCTATGAGGGATGAGGCTATCACTTGTGTTTTATCCATGTAAATAAGACTCCTCACAAATGCACTTAACAACCTGCAGTTTTTAAAGATTTGATCCAAACTCTGAATGGATGGATTTCTGGGAACAGAGCTCACACTGAGCAATGCTTGTGTGAGTCCTGACCCCTACCCACCAACCCTACCATCCGATTGCACAATTCTGGGCAACAGCAGAATTTAGGGCAAAATTTGAATATGCTGCAATGCCCCTTGTGGCCCTTCCTGCCCTCTGATATCAGCTGACCTTTAGCGTGACCACTGCCACTGGCCCAGCTCATATCTGTCAAGGGCGAGGAGCAAGGGCTTTAAGCGATTTGAACCCACCGGCCACCGGTGGTTGGACTGGAAGGCAGGTGCTCTAAACAACTAATCAACTGAGCGATCCAGACAGACACCATGTATTTGAACATCATCTGATTTGTTGTCATCAAGCATGTCTTCTTTTGTTGCAGCACCAACCATGCTTCCATCACTGTTGAGGTCACTGCGGCTGCTGAGTGTTGGTCAGCGGGTGCCGGCTACTGCCCAGGTGCGCCTCATCAGCAAGGACGTGCGCGTGCCCAAGCCGGGCGTCGGCATCCAGTACCAGTACCGGGTGAAGCTACCTGAAAAGTACACCATCCGCCGGCTGCCCATCCAGAAGCTGGCCGGCCGCGACCCGGCTACCGGTGAGTAGCCCGCGGCGCGCGGCGGACGAGCCCGCCGGACCCCAGCTGCTGGTCCCGGGCATGCTGGCCGCCATGCACGCCTCATAGCCTAAGGCCTGCATGCTGGGGCAGTGAGTGGAGACCAAAATATAGGAATGTTTGTGACATTGTTCTGGTGTTTTCAATAGCAACTACCCGCACATAACGTTTGCTACACATACCCTAGTTTGATTTGTAAAATAATTAGCATAGTTTGGATTTTCATGCAACAGCAGATGATGAAAGCAGACTTTTTGAGTAGCCTTAAAGGAATATTTTGTTCTAATGCAACAGCGGATGACGGAAATGCTGAGCAGCGTCTACGCGTAATGCGTCTCACTGGTTTCACTTCCTGCTCAGCTCACCCACTGTTATCCGGTCCCTGTTGTTCCTGTTCCTGATGCTGTTGTGAGGACACACTGCAGGATATCCTGGTGCTAGAACTCTGGATTTCTGCAGTCTCACCTGTACCCACGTGTTGTTTCCACCGCTGGTCGAGTCCGCCTGCTGCGGACGTCTAGTCCGTTTGTAAGGCGCCGATGCGCGTGGGCGGGATCTGCCTCTGATCGTCCCAGCCGGCGCCTGACGGGCATGGTGAAGTCCGTGGGGCGCTTACAGAGCACCCGTGGATGTGCGCTGTCTCCGCCCCACGTCACCCCGCCGGCGCCTGACCTGGCGCCGCCTCTGCGCAGGCCGCGTGGTGGTGGGCACGGTGGGCGGCGGCAGCAAGCGGAAGTACCGCTGGGTGGACGTGCGCCGGCCGCCGCTCGAGGACGGCTCGCCCCGCCAGGAGCGCGTGCTCCAGACCCTGTACGACCCGCTGCGCACGTGCACCATCGCGCTCGTGGCGCACGGCGAGCACATCCGATACGTCATCGCTCACGAGGTGAGGCCTCGGCCCCTGCGGTTGTCTCTTCGATGCAAAGGAAAGGGTGTTGTCTTGGACATGGGTAAGACATGTACCCATGAATAGCGCACACCAGGTCATGGAAATGTCGTTTTGAGGTACTAGCGGGTTTCGCAAGTGGTTCCCCACCCGATTATGCCAGATTCGCTTAATCAGACATGGGCGGACAACTCCATGTGGCTTTTGTGTCAGTGGTCACATCATTTTGACGGAAATTAGTTTGACGTGTTGCCATAATGATGCATATTCCTTTGCGTCGCGTTACCTCGCTTTATTGGCGTTCTCTACTGATTGTCCTGGGAGTTTGATTTCATGCACAGGTTACAAACCATCGCTTTTATGTTTTAATACAGTTTGCTCCGTTGATTCTTGTCCGTGCCGATAGCTCAGTTGGCTATAGTGCCTGCTTCCAATCCACCCATTCGTGACAGGGTGAGATCAAATCGCTGTAGGCGTTCAGCGCTCGCTTCTTGTCTGCAAAGCAGGGAAGCCCGGCACGGGCCGCTCTAGAGGTCAGCTGACGTCAGAGGGCAGGATGCGTCATGCCGAGCAATGTTGAACTTTCGCCACCAAAGTCTGCCATTGACCTGGAATGTGACGATCGCATGGCGAGTGCCAGGGGTCGCGCGACAATCGCACTTAGCATCGGCTCCGATCCCAGAAATTCGCCCATCAAAAGACTCAGAGTAAATATTTAAAGAAGGTCGGCGTTCTTCACACAGAGAAACACAAAGGTGACTGCGGACACCGGCGTGCCTGACTGTCGCTGACGGTGTCGCAGGGCATGCGTGCTGGTGACGTCATCACCACCTGCGGCGACATTCCTCGAACCCCGGCACGCCCGATTGTCGATGAAGGTGTCGCATGTCATGCGCGCTGGTGACATCATCACCATCTACGGCGACATTCCTCGGACCCCGGCGTGCCTGACTGTCGATGACGGTGTCGATGACGGTGTCGCAGGGCATGCGCGCTGGTGACATCATCACCACCTACGGCGACATTCCTCGGATCCCGGTACGGCCGCGGATCGGCGACGCCCACCCTCTCGGCGCGCTGCCGGCTGGCACAGAGGTGTTCAACGTGGAAAAATACCTCGGCGAAGAGGATAGGTGGGTGCTCTTCGAGGACGCGCGCCAGGCGTCGCGCCCAGGTGCGGGATAGGCTGGTGAAGGAAGTGGTTGTGGAGACCTCATGATCAGCAAAGGACCATTTTTAGTCTGGATTTTTTTTTGCTGGAATCCAGGCGCATGTCTGCTTGTCGGCATAAGGGACATGAATTCACAACGGCGAAGATGTGAAGCATGTGTACCTTCTTTCATGTTTGAATATCACGTTTGAAATTGATTTCACTACAAACCTACTGCTACACTAAATGCATTTTACTCTTATCAAAGCTGACCGAGAAGTGTCGGACTCTTCAAGTCAGTCTGATCTGCCCGCTAGGTCGCTGGAAATGTACGCAGGTACACGGATCGCACGGCATTAGCACCCGCCAGACTGCAGCAGCTGTGCACAGCAGCGTCGCCTCCCTGTGCCGACAGGATGTGTGTTGCCGGCGGCACGTTCTGCACGGTGCTGCGCCGGGTCGGTGATCGGGTGTTGCTGCAGATGCCGTCCAAACGGCAGTTCTCGCTGCGCCAGGAGTGCACGGCCGTTGTTGGTAAGGCCGACCGCCACGTCGCGCCGGACAGCCAGCTGATGACAGCGGCACAGACTGCTGGGAATGTGTGGTTCTGACTGGGCTCCTGACGACATTTATCTTGCGTCATCTCATTCTAAGCCAGCTAATGGTATAGGCATTGAAATAGTGTCCTGCTTTTGGTCGTGCTGCATTTGACCCGAGGCGATTTCCAGCGGACGATTGTGAGAAGTTTGCGAACGTTTGGGTCAAAGTGCGACTTCGTCCTTTTTCCCAGCCGCGTTCTTCCCGGTTGCACCCTTCTCGCTCCACAGTCACGAAGGTATCTGTTCTCGGGCTTTGGAGCACATTTTGCTAGCCTCCGGCAGCGCGCTGACCGCCGGCCGTCCGCAGGTCGGGTGAGCATGCGCACACCCAGCATCCGGCCGATCGGCTCGGCCCAGCGGCTGCGCCACCTGGGCTACCGGCCGCGCTCCGGCCTCTGGCAGCGCAAGACGGGCCGCTTCGGGCGCAAGGTGCGCCGTCCGCCGCCGCTGCGCGAGCTGGACGCGCCGCCGCCGCCGCCGGCCGAGGTGCAGCGGCTCACTCTGCACGACGTGCACGTGCACAACTCGGAGGACACGGCGAAACTGTTCAGGCCGCTCCGGGGCATGACCAACTAGCGCCGTCTTGTGGCGGGTCGAGCGGCACGAGACCTAGCGGGTGCGGTTGTCGTGTTGGGTGCATTTTGTGTATGAGTGCTCCGAGCTGAGCGAGTCCACTTGCAAATGAGTGTCGGCGGCGTGTTGACACTGCTGCGGTGGCCCCTTGCCCGTGACTGGGGAGTGGTTCGGCTGATGTGGTAGCCGCGGTGTTTGCCAGGGCGTAGTGATGACGTGGTGACCGCAAGCTGCGTGTGCGCGCGGCGACCCTGCCGCGGACTGCATTGTTGTCCTCAGTGCCGCTGTGAGGCCACGCGTGGGGTGTGACCCAGCTGCGACACGCTTCGAACACAGTCGGTAACCCTGTGGGCTGCATCTGAAACGTTGTATTGACGCGGATCAATCGCGGCGAATACTGAACGTTCGTTGAAGGTCCGGAATATGCAAATGCTCAACGCATTGTTTGTTGTCTGAGATCAGTCAACGAGATGGAACTTAGCGAGTGGACATGCTTGTCAAACCCGAAAACTACACATGTGTTCCTTCATATTTTGTGGCGAGGCGGGTGCTATGTTCACGCAGGATGTCATCTGCCACGGCGCTTGCTTGCCGTTGACGGATGCGCTCATGACAACAGACGGCGCACATGACAACAGCCGCACAGCGCTTGTCTGTCGTTGACGGGTTGCGCTCATTATAACAGACGGCGTACATGACAACGACCGCACAGCGCTTGCTCGCCGTTGGCGGATGGCGCTCATGACAACAGACGGCGTACATGACAACAACCGCACGGCGCTACACGAGCCGAGGGCGATGCAGAAAATGTAGTACTATAAATGACGCACCCATAGATGTAACGCTATAAGTGACCCTAACCGATGCTCCGTTCCGCTCCCGACCTGGCACGGCTCCACAGTCGCTCGTTCTCGATGGGCCTACCCTCCCACGTGCACTCGAACGCACCGGACGCTGCCGATGTAACCTCAGCAGCGGCATCGCGTCCACGGACACGCCCGAGACAGATTCGCTGGCTGGTGTTCGGCCTCGGCCCAGTCTCCAGCTATCCACAGCTGCAGCTGGCGCGACCTTCCAGACACTTCCTTGTGCTCTGAGCCTCTCGCCCATGCCTCGGGCGCTTAGCATCCCGCCTGGCTTTGCTAGCGACCGGCTAGCGGTATGCGGAAGCAGGCGGTGCGGTAGGCCAGCAGGCCCAGCGCCACTCCCAGCAGCACTGTGGCAAGCGCCAGCACCGTAATGGCCAGTGCAGCGCCGGTGACGGTGGCGGCGGCGGCCGGCGCCGGCGGCACGTAAAGCGCCGAGCTGCCGCACGGCGACTCCAGCAGGAAGGCAGTCAGCGCCTGATCCAGCCGACCAGGCACGCCGGCGCAGCGAGAGGCCTGGTCCGCGGAGCACGCCGACGCCGCCTGCAGCGTCCGGCTGAAACGAATGGCGTATCATGTCATGTCATTGGGGCTTTACGACGCATTCAGCTGCTGAGGCTATATGGCGTCGCCTGCTTGTCACCCTGGCAGAAAGGGCGGGCGCCGCGGGGAACCGAACCCCGTACCTCTGGTTTATCGCTGTCTGTGTCTGTGAGGGGCTGCACCAGTCGGGAACCAATGCAGTTAGCGCGCCCCTGAAACCCCAACCGTCCGGGCGCGAAGCGGGTGTACATCAATGAAGGGGTGCAAGGCCGGACTGAAACATACGGGGCCAGGCTAGGAGGCCCTCGTTGTTAAGTAGGAAGCCCCCGTTTTGAACAGAGGGTCCTGTTATGAATTTTAAAGGACCCGTTATAGGCTTGGAGGTCCCGTTTTGAACAAGGAGGCCTCCATGATGAACCCGGAGGTCCCCGTCATGAACTTGGAGGCCCCCGTTTTGGAAAACTATGTCTCCATTATGGACTAGGAAATCCTCGTCACGAACTAGGAGGCCCCATTATGACGTAGGAGACTCCGTTAGGAACTAGGGGACCCTTGTTACAGATTAGGAGGCGCTTTATTTTTATCCTCAGGACCCTTTTCTGGAACAAAAGACATGTATCATGCATCAGCAGTATCAGCAAGCTCATTTTTATGCATCAGAAGGCCCATTATTTGGCCTGTTTACGCGCACACTTCTATTTCGTGGTTGGATATGTGTCATAGCACTTCACATGTTTCACTACTTTGCACCATATTTGGAAACAAAACAGCCCTGGAGAAATACGTGCGGGCGACCCGAGGTCCAATTCGAAATAAAATACGAAACGGCATGCCTAAAGAACCCCCCCCCCCCCCCCCTGCGATTAGTCAATGGCCAGGACAAGCTGAAAGGTGAAGAGTTCTTCGCAAATACCACGTGACCTATCGTGACCTGATCCGACCTAACCTTGTAAACTGAATTTCTTGCAATGGATGATGATAGATTTTCTATGTGCTACTACTATATTACTACTTGATTTGCTACGATTGTTCCTTATGATTACAGCATATAAACGTCGCATAGTCGGGGTGGTGATATAGACATACAGTGTCTGCGCCTACGCTTTTCATGTATGCTTGCATGAAGGCGTCATTTCGCAAAATATGCAGAAAAATAACATTTCACCTTATCTAGGTCAAGTTGCTCGGGGACATGAATCACATGGATATGCTATGGAAGCGGGATAAATCATGTACATCATCGTGGCACCTAAATAGCAACCCAGTGGCGGTTGTGTATTCGTGAACAAGCTTGTACACTTTTAGCAGCATACCTCGCGAAAATACGGAAATTTTAGCTCCATGGTGATCACTAACATTATTTTATATTTCTTCGATTTTGTCATCAACGGGCTCAGAAAGAACAAATTAAGGAGAGAAAACACCACGCCTTTGAATTTGTCCAATTAATGCAAAGTGGGCAACTCATCTAATGAATGACAGTTTCAGCCAATACCCTGCTGCGATAGCACGTGCATCTGGTTCGGCTCTCAGGTATGTGCGTGTGTCACAACCTTGGGAAGTTGTGTGGCGGGGTATTTGAATGACGGGACGGCATTTTAAGTGAAGTAAGTCAAACCTCGTAAGTAAAGTAACTTAAGTCGCGAAGACATTGACAAATTCGGCGTGGCGAAGCCGAAGACGACAGTTCGAAATCACACGAGGCCGATGTTAGCAGGAGCGCAGGCAGGCAAAGGTCGGATTTTAAGCCAAGCCCATAATTCAAGCATTGCTCAAAGTCGAAGTCGAAGCTTGGTGTTAAAAATGACACAAAGCCAAAGCCAGTCGTGAAAAAAAATGGCACGAGTGGAAGCTGGACCCCAAGCCATTGAAGAAAAGTCGCGACTTGGCAAAGCCGAAGCGGAAGCAGGCCTCGCTCCCATGAATTCCCTTATACAACATAAGCGAACACCTCCTCACATTGTAAATCGCATGCGAATGCCGATTGTAGTCTAATGGACTTGCCAGCGCGGGACAATCGATACCACTGCCATATCACCAGGTTCAATTGGGAAATTTAAAAATATTTTGCTGATGGAAAGCAAGCTTCCGTCAGCGCAGAGAAATAGGTTATTCTTAAAAACGCAAGTGCGATATATGATGCATGGTTATGGTTCGGACAGGCCCTGACTCCAACATTTTCTCGCTGCGATGGCTGCAGCTTTTAACACGACCCCAGGGAATGCAGGGCAGCCAGTGTATCCGCCTGGCCACGGGCCCGCATATCAGATACCCGCATATCAGGGTCAGAAGTCCCCGTTTTAGGACAACAAGGCCCTTTGCTGGACTTGGTGGCCCGTTTGTAAATCGGAAGGATTCTTTTCTGACTGAGGAGGAAATACGTCGACAAGGGAGCGTGTGCCTCCGGGCCATCCCCTTGAATATAATGCTGTCCAGGTGGCTCCAGGTGAGGAGACCCCAGTCTATCCAGGAGGCATTCTGGAAAACCTGCCCCAAACTCAAAATCCGTGGCGCCGTCCCTGGCCATGAGTTTCTCGACTAAGCAGTGCCACTGCTTTGCAAGGACAAGTGTCACCACTCTGCAAGGACCAGTGCCATCGGTCTGCAAAGATTATAGCCACCTATCTCCAAGGACTGGTGCCACCACTCTGCGACGACTATCGCTACATATCTGCAAGAACAGGTGTTACCGCTCTGCAAGGACTAGTGTCACCATTCTGCAAAGTCCAGTGCCACCGCTCTGCGAAAACTATCGCCATCTATCTGCAAGTACTAGTGCCACCGCTCTGCAAGGACCAGTGGCACCGCTCTGCAAAGACTATCGCCACATATCTGCAAGGACTGTTGCCACCCTTCTGCAAGAGCAGTGGCGCAGGCACTCACCGGCATTCTGCGGGATCCAGCTTGACCTTCAGCAAGTCGGTGACGTGAGTGATATTGGCGCTCCTCTCAAGACACTGCAGGTACGTGAGCGGGTTCCAACATGATGTGCGGCGAAAAAGCTCTGTCAAAGGCAGTCGGTGGTAAGGGCAGCATATTTTCAGAAATATGGCATATCACCTCGATTAACGTGGCATGGCCCATGGAAGATGTGATATAGCCATGATGCGTACGTTACCAAGGATTACGTCGCTTAACATCCGCGTTACGTTATCAGTTATCGATGCCAATTATGCCCGTCACCACGTTGCCCGTGTTCGCCTCAACAGCATATACCGTCTCAGCTGAATTTGGCATAGTGCTTGTAAACACAATACGTGAACTAGGCGTATGCAGTACATTACATGATATATGCATGCATAATATATATATATATATATATATATATATATATATATATATATATAAATATGTGACACATCATCAAGTGCACATGGAAAAGGGTCGTCAATCCTTCGGAACATGTTTTCGCTTTCTAGAAGGCGCCGAGAACCCACCCAACATGTTGGCTGCGCCATCAGCACATAGATGTCTCTGCACGGCACGTAGGCCGCTCAGCCAGCCGTCGTACACCAATCGGCCGTCGGCGGCGCTGCAATCGCCATCGATGATGTCTGACGTACAGTTGAGGGCGTCGTCTAGAGCACTGTGGAAGGAGTCTGACCATTCAGTGAACCACGTCACATGTGTGCGCTGGCCTCGTTCACAACGGACGAATCAACGCCTGTTCTGAAAAGCAAGCAATTCGCCTACGAGGCCCGTAAACCACATCGCGCATGGGAGCATAGCGGAGCATCCGATACCACCTGGTGAACAACACACGATAACACGTCGACACGGAGTCATTGCGCCCAATTTTAGACACGACGCTGATTCGCTCTCATGACTTCTTTTTCCCCACTAGGCTTCGCGAAGCCTGGTGGGGAATCATGCATCGACATCATCAGCATGGATGATGCTGATGATGTCGCGTTGGGTGGCCTTTTACCGCCAATTTGATTCATCTTGTGGCCATGTATTTGTGGTCTAACTAATAAGTTTATACATGTCGAAGAGAGCACGACTGGCTTGACAGTCTTGAAAATTGAGGTCTTGTCATGAGTGTTAAAATCAGAACAGTAAATAATAGTACGTGTTAAAATGACCCATCAACATTATGTCCACCGGAATAGCCACCCTGGTCACGTCAACCGTTACTTTTCCGAACGAGCTTATTGTAAAGCTTGATATGCGGTATGTTGTACAGTATCGCTCCTTCGCCTTGCAGAGTCATGCTCCAAAACGCACAGAGTATTTTCGTCTGGGCTATGATCTCAACCGCTTAGCCAATTTTGAACTGTAGCATTTCGCTGATGTCATGACGCGTGCTGCTGTTTTGACCACCTGTGCTGTTTCAGCTGGGAACTCTGGCTCACGGTGCAGAGGAACAAAACAAAAAACGGTCTGAGTCTGCGTCGTCGGTGTAAACATAGCCTTTGGTCGAGGTCAGGCATTTGATAGACGTTCCTCGTTTACGAGACCCACACGCACTCATGTATGCGGGGTTCATCCGTGTCAAGCTCCTGCACTGTCAAGACGGTCGCGCTCCTTTGGCCTTCCAACCAGGGGACCAGTGCGTTCCGCGGGTGACGCATTACGCTGTGATATCACTGCGGCAGACCGTCCTCAGCGGCAACGGCGGCGTCAGAACGTGAGGCCACTGACAACTAGCCGGGGCAATACAACGGCTGTCGCGCCTCGCCGCCAGTGTGCCGGCAAACAGGTCAATTTGAGGCTCAGCCACCGCGGCCTGTGTCGCTGGGACGGGCCATGACAGCTTGTCCAAACAAGGAAATATTTCCGTCACACAATGCCAGCCGGTGTGAGGCGTTCCACCCAGTTCATTCGAGTCAGAGGGCGCCGAGCCTGGCGCACCGGCACTCGGAGGCCTCTGTGACCGCCGGGAGCAACCCCCGGCACTCGGAGGCCTCGGTGACTGCCGGGAGCGACTCCCAGCACTCGGAGGCCTCGGTGACTGCCGGGAGAGACCCCGGACACTCGGAGGCCTCGGTAGCGAGCCCCGCATCGGCACTCGGAGGCCTCGGTGACCGCCGGGAGCGACCCCCGGCACTCGGAGGCCTCGGTGACTGCCGGGAGCGACCCCCACATCAGCACTCGGAAGCCTTGGTGACCGCCGGGAGCGACCCCCAGCACACAAAGGCCTCGGTAGTGACCCCGCATCGACACTCGGAGGCCTCGGTGACCGCCGGTAGCGAACCCCACATCAGCACTCGGAGGCCTCGGTGACCGCCGGGAGCGACCCCCACATCGGCACTCGGAGGCCTCGGTGACCGCCGGGAGCGATCCCCAGCACTCGGAGGCCTCGGTGACCGCCGGGGGCGACCCCACACCGCAGGTATGTCTGCTCGGCCTCAGCTGACCGTGGTTTGGCGCGCGCCAGACTGATGATTCAGCGGCCGTGCGCCAATAGGGGCGGGGGACGGACGTATCCCAGAAAGGCGTGGGGTACAGCCAGCTGTTTGCTGGCACCGCATTGGTGTCAATTTTATCGCAGCTTGAAGGCTCGCACGGAAGTATCAACCTTATGACCGCGCTCATTGTTACACGTGACATTACTGTTCAGTTTTGTGATTAACCGTATACGCTGGTGACCGGCTGGACTAAAGTTGCGTCAACCACAGGCCTGGCGTTGGAAGCACGCGAAAGGCACGCACATCACAGCTGACCTGGAATCGAGTTTTGGACGCACGGTCGAAAGCCGGGGGACACAATGCTCCAGCCCCAGCCTGACACTCAAACTATTTATGTACCAGCGTCATCCGGAGTACATTCCCTTTGGTTGTGACAACTGATATCGAGGATGGTATGTTTCACAAAAACGCTTCTCATGGTGATCATTTTTCATGTGAACTGCATCGGTGCTAATGCTAATAATGCGTCGGCCATGCTAACCGGCGGAACTCAGACCGTTGTCACCCGCAGCTATCCTGGCCTGGTTCATGCCTGCACAAATTGTGTGGTCAGCTGTGCACATCACCGTAAGCAAAGCCCTTAATATGGCCGGGTGGATGACAGGAAGTGCATGACCGAGTGTTGCACGTTCTTAGTCGGGGAACTGGCTGCCACATACTCACCGATCTCGCGTGGTAGTGACATCAGGAATGTGAGGAAGGGCCGGCCAAATCTAGAGGCACCACAATTCTAACGCAATCGTTGCACGTGGACTTTGCAAAGGGGCGCTGTATTTACAGCTCACCTCTGCAACACAAGGATCCTGGTGTGGGATAGGTAGCTATGTGGAGTGGTGCATTCCACATTAAAATCTGTCAATGCCTATAATTGCGATTTGTGTTTCAAAAGTGACTGCTACATGAATTTAATCAGCGTGGCGGTAGCTGGTAGTGGTCAACTGAATTTGAAACATGCTACAATTGTTTTGTCATCGCAAGCAGTCGCTAACAACGAGACCTGTTTCGGCTGCTGGAGGCTTGGACTCGGAGGCGGAAACACTTGAATAGCTCTGTAACTCATTTTATGCATCAATGTGCTAACTAGCGTTGACGTAATAGTAACATTCCATTGTGAGAATGATGGACAGCATGCAATAAAGAAGTCTATACTGGACAGCATTGTGCCTTTGAAGACCTTTTTAATGTGAGATTTACCTGCAAAATAGAACGTTTGTTTTCACCCCACCCCAAACTTTGGGTTCAAACGAGGTTCGTGCGGATAGACGCTTCCTCTTACGGAGCAATCATTTATGCATGTTTTTATGCTTTTAAAGCTATTTGCCGGGGGAAATCGTTTCGACTTTACCTGTAGTCAAATACATGGCTGTAGCATGCGCACTAAAGGAATTGCGTACTACTATTACTTTAGCTAAGACGAAAGCAAAGGAAAAGTAATTTTGGGGGAATGCCACGACCTCCCCTCATTGGGGATGGTCGAGAGAGAACGCCAGATTTTAAGGGCGTATGCCATTTTTTCGTACTTGTCACTTATCTTTAGATCAGACACGTCCGATTTGATCGGTGTCACCAGTTTTCTGGATTTTTGTTGTTGAATAGATTAGAATTCAATTTGAAATAACCGTTCAGGCTGGAGTAATCTTATTGAACCACACGGTCATCTCTATTGAAGTTCTGATTTTAATTTGCCTTGCTCTTTCCAACGTCTGTGTTTCGTTGTATTTGTAATAGATCATCAGTTCGTCTACATGCCTGCGTAATAACAGTTGCTATCGCTGGACACACTATTTAGTGAGACAACATACAACTATGAGGCTATTATCACGCGAGTTCAACAAAACGCTATACTATGACATCGATTTCTCCCCTACGGCGTTAAGCACAGTGGCTCTTTTCGAAGCGCACTTTGGCTTTGGAATGCATAGTATCTTTGGTCTATCGTGATCCGCTGATTCAAACTTTAAGCATTACGCTTCTCGGTGACTGGCATTCGCCGCCCGTGGTGTGAATCACAGACGTGACTTGGTGCTGGCGTTATTCATGCCACAAGAGGCGCTTCCTTTGAGTTCGCAGTTCCGCAATGTGCGGGCTAAAACAACCCAAAAGGGATGCCTCTGGTCCATATTAGCTGACGACGGCTCTTAGTGCATCCGTTTCAAGGCAGTGTCCAACCTTTGGGACGTATTTCAAAACCACACTTGGGTGAAACCTCACGACCATTTGGTCTAATATTAGCCTTTTGCAGTGTCACTATAGCCTATATGGCCAATGTCAGCCCATAGCATCATCGAGATGTAGTGAGGAAATTGATGTTAATTATTTTCGTGTCCAGAACACACTGCAACGTTCTTTCACAGCACTTCACTCCTTTCTTTCTTGGTAGTCCCAGTGTACCTTGGATCCGCAACAACTACAGCTGTCGCGACTGGCGCCGTCATGACCGCCGTCGTCATGACAACGGAGTCTGCTGAGGGCCGTTGCCAGCTGTTACGTGCTAGAGGTACAACCTTTGAGCTGTTGAACCCACACACTGCCGGCCCGCAGGCTTAAGGTGCCACCCCTACTGGTATGAATGACATCAGTACAAATTCATGTTTGGAGTGGCACAGGAGGGGGGGGGGGGGGGCAAAGGGCAGCTAGCAAGAAGCCCATTGACTGAAGTTTGAACCAGTGCGTCACTAAACAACATGTGATATTTCGTCTCCCAAAGCCAAAGTGCGCTTCTAAAGAGCCACTGAGCTGAACGCCATCAAATCGGGTATTACACGCTGAAGAGACCGAACATACTTTTCACCGAGTAATGCCGTTTACTGTTCGTTTAACTAAGCAGAATCCATTAACTTGATTTCTACGTTTCTGTAAAAATGTCAGCGCAATATAAAATCCCACGACTAGCAGGTGATGCCGTTAACCACAGGTTTCTATCAGCATTTTCGTGAGAACTGGTCACTTACCATATCGGCTTGGTCCCTCCAATGTTTCGGCGGAATGTTGCAAATAGAAAACACACCAAAAATTCCATCGCAGAAAAGTTACTTTTCTTGGGCGTTATTACTGGACATGACTACGATGCTGCTAAAATATCGGCCTATTTGATAAGATATAGAAAAAGAGACAATGCAAATTGTCGTCCACCAACATGAAGAAGGCTAAATCCGTGAAAAAGCACACATTTTAGGAAGTTGGGTTGTTTGGCCTTGCTCCCCCACCCCTCCCAATAACTTTTCCAAATCGACGCTCCTGCCCCAACTGATTGGATCGCTGTGGTGTAAGTCCCAGTTAGAAGATCCATTTTTTGCATAGTCTGGCAATGGCGCATCTAGCCTGGGACTTTTCGCATGCCTTGTGTCGCCCAAACTAACAATGCACAATTATTCCCGGCGGGAACACACAGGTGCCACACGCATGTCTGTTATTCCTTTGAAACATACCCGGAATTTGCTAACGCACTCCCTAACACACTGGAAGCGCTGCATGATCAATCATTGCGAAGAAAAGCAAGAGAATAAGTTAGGAACTCACAAGCACGTATCGAGGGCGTCTCGGTCCGAGCAGGTGGCAGGCCTCGCAGCCTGTGGGATGTTCTGGCAGGCCAGGTCCTTGACGACCTCGTCGAAGCAGCCGTTCGCAATGGCCGGAATGCAGGCGTCATCTGCGTCTGCAAAGGCGGCCCTGTTATCGTAGCTGCAAACGTGCTCGAATGAACCCCCCCCCCCCTGCTTTCGGTCTGTTGTTTCTACGCAGGGAAGCCTTGCATCGCAGAGACGGAGTGACGTTCGGTTCATTCATGCAATGACTTGCAATGGCGTCGGGTCGTCGCCTCACATTGACTCGCTTCTGGGGTCCCAACATACCGACCATTAAAAGGGAAGAAGCCAGACACATGCAACGTAATTTGACAACGAATTGTTTGTCCCGCACTGTCACGTAAGGTAAACACGGTGCAATCACGCGGTATGCAGGTACTGAATCCATTCACATGACACGACCACGGTTCGTCCATTGCTTAGGCGCACCTGCTGAGACGATTTGTACAAGTGATGAACCTCCCGCAGTCCATGGTTCCTGGGTAAAGTTTCGTGTCGTATTCTCCGTCAGAGCGTCAGAATTTCACGCCGAGCGTCACGCATACCGTATGTGTTGTTCCGCATAAACAACGCAAAACTTTACGCTGACAGGTTTTCCTAACGTGGAACTTTGTATTGGTGTTATAAAACTTTGATCTTTTAACTTTGTAGAACTTTGCTTTGTATTGTATTGGTAACTTCGTGTCGCAATTCACAACTACGTGTACACAATTCTTTGTGTCATGGTTCTTAAATGTATGCATTTCTTTATACCACATCCCTTCACTCATGCAATCGATGCGTATGCATTTCTTCGTGTAAGAACTCCCTCGTATCGCATTTCTTCTTGTGTTAATTTCTTTGTACCGTATTACTTTGCCTACGCAATTGTCCCATCACAGTCATTCGCCCACGCAATGATTTGCATGACATTTTATCGCGCACCTAATTTTTCGCAACGCATTTATGTAAGTCTGCACATCTTTTGCACGTATCCAGATACGTATTTATGCATATTTGCATCCGAGTTATAGGTCAAATGCTGTTCAAGCCAACGGGTACGCCACTTGGGATTTTCAGACCAGCGAAGCACTTATGCTGCGCCGCACGGCGCGACTGTATGTCTGTAATTATTACCATCACGCACGACTTCATGGCAGATTACGTATCACATGACTTACGCGCCCTTAGGCTCATTTAGCTTAAATGTTGTTTTTCTTTGTCCGTGGAACTATTCGTGACGTGTTTTACGAGCACAAATTTGGTCGCATTTCATATGGACACATGCACGCATGAGCAAAGCTGTGTCCTTCGCGTGAAGATATCCTATCATTATATCAGGGTTCTTTGTACAGAAATTTCACAGGGGAGGCAAGCCCGGTGACAGGAGGCGTGGGAGACTGAAGTCTTAGTTCGCTCTTAAGACATGTCATTTCCCAGAGACAAGTACCTGTACAGGTTATCATATATGTCTACAATTGTTTTCTCCTAGTGCGAAGTTTTAACTACTCTTCTCATCGAGACCACTAGCCAACAGACTATTCAGTTTGCTAGACGGATTTACGCACCTTGGCATATTTCTACTATTTCTACTAGGAAGACAATTGGGAAGGCGTCTCTGGCGACTGGAGATGCATTTACCTCCATAGTTAACACACCAAAATGTGTTCAGCACCAAATTGTATCTAAGTCCTCATTTGCCAGCTTTCTCAAACCTAGTGCACTGATAACGTTAGTGTTAATCGATTGTCCGCTAGTTTGTTGGATTCGGAGCTAGGGCGGCGACATCAGAGACGAGCCACACCGCGTAAAAATTCACTGCGAGAAATGTGCGCCTGGTTAAATCCACTTATTTGGCTGGATTAAGTGTGTCCTGAGTATCGCTTCATTTGACCATGCATAATAGTTCAAAAGCAAAGGTGGAATTTACAGAGGTTGCTCAGTGCATTAGCGAGGAACATCATTCATATAGATAAGACAGTAGTATTAGCCTTATTCCTCGGAAAAACCAGGATAATGGTGATAAAGTTAGGTCGGTATTTCGGCAGCATGCATCTATCGAAACAACAGCAGACGTGCTATTACGGGATACGAGGCACTAGGCTCGTATCTTCTGTTATTGTTTCGATAAAGGCATGTTGCCGAAATATCAGAGCAACTGTATTGCCATTCTCCTGTTTTTTCCGAGGAATACGGCTAATACTGCTGTCTTATCAAAGGTAAAATTTCTTGCATGATATCTAAGCCGCTACAAGCGTGCAATCTTTCAAAAGCATGTCTCTTGCATGGAAGCTGCAACGTTGGTATAAAATTGCTATGGTCTTTCCGGGTAGTGCTAAGAGAAAAACACACTTGCTTCTCCGTATGGTTTCGGACCATATCGTGAGCCCTTCTTCATTTGATTCATTTGGCGAATCAAAAACTTCCAATCAGGAAATGCTTTCAATCACGAAGAAATCACTGGTCCGAGTAGTACAACCGCTTCTCGTATCCACGACCTCCCAAAGATCCACAAGACAAACTTGTCTTGAAACCTATAATCAACTGTGTGGATTGTCCCGTAAGAAAATAACCCGGTAATTATTAAAACATAGTCATTCTCCTTAAAGAAATATGATCAGAACACCGTCAAACCGTCCACGTTTGCCACAAACGCCGGAGGATGGAGCGCACGGCAAACCAACGTTGTGTGAAGTTTTTAGTCACCAGACTTTTTACTAGGGCACCTGTAGAAAAGCGCGGGCGTACGCACATAGTATCGGCTGGGGCCACGTCTCCCAGCCAAATTTATACCACTTTTTAACGTGTACGTGAGGGAATATTGCCAATTTAAAAGTGCAGATAACACGTAAATTAAAACCGTGATCGACATAAGCGACGTTGACACGCAAGAAATCGTGCGTGCCCGCTGAACTTGGTTTTCAGTGAACATTGTCAAGTAATGCCCATATCGCAACGTTCTGCGTACACCCCTGGGAAAAAGCAATATCCGTGATCTGTGACGAACCCGGATATAACGATACGCTGCCAGAACGGGCGTCTCAAATTGAATGCCAGTATGGGCTCAATCGACCGTTGTATAAAGCTGTGCGCCATTGTCACATACCTCATTTGAAAGGCAAGTTATATGAGCTGAAGGAATGTGCTCCAATTTGTATTTCCCTGTCTGCAGGTCTCAAGCACGTGTACATGAAGCTCTTTGGAGGATAGACGCACCAGACATGCCTGCTTAGATTGGAGATATGGAAAAGTTACATAAACATCACATTTTTCATCTGGAGGCATGGATGTCACGCCTGGCATAACCACCATGGCTACGTGGACTCTATCAGACCTTGTTCACCATAGGAACATACAATCAGGACGACTTTCCCTCTTCCACGCAGTCAATCGACAGCACGCCACTATCGTCACGGACGTATAATGCAGACAGACCAAAATGCAAATCTCACCATCCGAAGAGGTCAAGATCGGGACGATTAAAATCTGAAAAACGAAATGATCCCACACGAGAAGAATTGTGTTTGGTCAATCTACGACAGAAAGTGAGCAGTCTAACTTTCATCCTTACAGCGAACAGAAAACCGCAAAAACTCGTACCCAAGCTATCCTGACAGAGTAACAGTTGGCAAGAGCATGTTTTTGCCCCTTCAAAATTTTTGAAGACCCCTGTTTACAAACTGAAAGCTTGCAAGCTTCACAACCGTTACCAAAGTTTAGGTCGAGAAGGCCCCCTACTAAAGGCCCCCTAGAAGTGCCAAATTTGGCTTACAAAACATTTTCCTTCATCAATTTGTCCGTTTTGCAGATAAGGAGACCCCTTTACGTACAAAGAAGCCCATGTTCTTAATCAGGCCATCCTATCTCTCGTCAATGGGAACCTTTGCTGACCCGGTAGGATTCTTTCTCAGAATAAGGAGATCCCTGCTCAAGGTATGACGGCATATTCTGCACATCAAAACTCAGGATCCAACTTTTATTTTATTTTATCAGGAGGCTGCTGTACTGGATCAGGACGTCGTGTTTTGGGATATTGAGACCTTTTGCGTGAGTCGGATGCCGCATTAGTGAATCGAAAGGATCCTGTTGTGGATAAGGAGACACCATCTATGCATAAAAAGGCCACTCGCTAGAACAGTTCTGCCAAACCCCTCAACCCAAAGTCTGCGGGGCTACCCCTAGCCACAGCACAAACTTGAAAAGCATATCAAGCCATAAACTGGAGACCATGCCGTCTCGGAATTCAAGAGGAAAAGTTGTGCTCCGGGTGTCATGTGATTGTGGCGTTTCGTACGCCGGGGAGACAGGACGGCCGCTTTCCACTGGCGTCGCCAGGCAGCACCGAGATGCGCTCGTGAAAGGTCATCTCGAAAAATTATTTGTCGAAGAACACAGCCAGGTTTACCCTAATGACATCGTTCTTACTCATGTTGACGTCGATGGCAGCAACGAGAAGTTTAGGACGCTAAACCTAACTGAGTCACAGGACCTAACGCCTTCTCTGAAGACAGACAATAGTGGAGCCCGGACAATGGTCTGTCTTCAATAGTCTGTCTTCTGAGAAGGTCTAAGAATAGTCTGCCTTCAAACTGCAATAGTGGAGCCCCACTATTGCAGTTTGAGTGAAGTCCGGTTTGGGCAAGCGGAGTCGGGTGCTTTTCTCGATCTGGGAAAACACTACGCAACTAAACATTAAGGACAAACCTAACTAAAAAAAAATAATAATTTCATGGCGGTCAAGTTATGAAAAGCGTAGGCTTTTGACCTGGCTTAGGCTTTTGAGCGGACGAATTTGAGTGACGTGGGCTTATGAGCGAAGACATTTGAGAGACGTGGGCTTTTGAGTGGAGAAATTTGAGTGACGTAAACTTTTCAGTGGTGGACGGCCAATTGGGTGGTTGGTCGTTCCTGTTCATACAGAGGGGAGGGCAGGCAATGCCTGCATCTTGGGTGGAGCTTGGTAACCTTTCCAGGCCTTGATCACCTAAATCTGTGCTTCCATCGCGGCAACGTGAAACTATAGTGATCAAATATGACAAAATATCGGAAAACACACTGGAAAACTTAATATTTCGGAAAATATTTTCTGTGCAGTATAAACAATGTCATGGAGCTGACAGATGGCGCAGTTGGCGCAACACTGCAGAAAGACAGAGAAAAGTTTCCGGTGGCATCGGGATTTTGGTCGGTCCGGAAACAAATGACGTCACGAGGACTGTGAGGACTAGCCTGGACCGCAGGACGGTCCGTGGAATATTCGTTCCTGGATATTCGGAAATAAGCGTATAACACCAGGCCTCCGTGATAAACGACAGAGAACTATGCTTGTGGAAAAATCTTGCATGGTATTTTTATATCTACATAATTACAATAATCAGAAAACTATGTTTTGTTGGCGCACGATGGTTGGGCACGGCCGGCCCGTATTGGAACTGTATCTCTGACCAGCAGAATGAGCACCAGGCTTCATCAATTCAACGCTCCAAACAGCATTCAAGGAATCGAGCCCAAGGCTGCTGCATTACAAGCACAGCATCCCCTTGGCCATAAATGTGGTGAATTCGTTACGTCTTGAAACAATCAGCACCAGGCGAAACAATCAACACCAAAGCTTGCCGACCCCCCCCCCCCCCCCTCTGATAGCCCATTGCTACGGATATACTTCCGAACACGGTGGTACAAGTGGGGAGGTGGGGGCACCGCATTTGACGTCATATGCAGCCCGAGGCAACAGACATAGGGTCGCGACCATGGGCACTATATGAGTAATGGGGACACGTGGGGAACAATTGGTCCACCACTTTTATGCAACGCCTTGGATAGACCACTACACCGCAAGACTTTTGGGAGGAAGCGCGTCACCAGTCCTCCCGGTGACGCAACACCGTTCCGCATGGACCACAACAGCAGATACGGCACGCAACAACCAAAACATCACCATCGCCACAACCCCGTCCCTCAGCTCCTGACCCCCCCCCCCCCCTTCCCACACTACCACCTCCTCCGACTGTGCAGTGTGGTAGGGCGAGCTCACCTTCACCTGGGTCTGCCGGGGCCTGAGCGGCGGCCGACAGCACCGGCTGCAGCAGCGCGGCCAGCAGCAGCAGCAGCTGCAGCAGCGACGGTGGGGAGCGTGAGCCGGGCATGGTGCGGACTGGAGCCGGCGTCGGGCGCCAGCGTCGACCCTGGCCGCCGCCGGACGTCCGCCGCCGGTGGACAGGAAGGTACGGCCTCGCGGTCCGGCTGGCGGCGCCGATAAGGACGGCGCCGTGCCAGGCGTCGCGGGGAATGAGACGCGAGGCGCCGCCAGATGCGGTCACAGACAGGTCCGGACGGCGCCGCGTGCCGAGGCATAGTAGCGGAAAATACGAGGAACGGATGCATCTGGATAAGGTCGCGAATGTTTTGCTGTTGGCTAGTTTTTGGAACCTGTACTGAGAAAGACTACCTCAGGCTGGAGCGTGGCTGAAGCGTCCGGGTGGTTGGTTGAATACGACGCACGAGGTTGGGGTGCAGGGTCAATTTGACTCCATACAAATAGAAATAAGAAAACTATAGATACCGGACTTACGGAGTGGCTTCCCTCTGCATGAGCTCATTTGTGTAAAATTTTTGATTTTATGACGCTGACTCGGATAAAAGTCTAACAAGGTCAAACTTAAGATCGACATGCGAAGTGCTCCTAGAACTCCTTATACAAATAACTGTGGCAAAAAAAATGTTTTTTAAAGCAAAAGGTCATTCGGGGTTATTTCAGTTCAGTGAAGAGGTCAAGCTAACAAAATATATTCAAGATTATCCAAACATTTTTACAAATAAAAATAGCCTTAAGGGCCATCATAGGCGGTATGTTACTTTTTTGTTACTTGAGGCAAAAGGTTGGAGACCATTTTGATGTCAGTGGTCTTCCATCACCTTTATAAAGCCAAAATAGAAGTCTGTCACTGTTAATGTGGTCATAAAATTGAAAGTGAAAGCAAAAACTACCCCCACTCGGCAAGTTTTCAAGTGGAGCAAAAATTTGGTTTGACCTTGATGCGTTCTTCATGCCTTAGCCCAGCTTGACAGAATTGGTTGAAATCATTATTTTAACTGTCTTTTTGCCGTAGCGACCACATCAAAGTTGCATAATACCCTTCGACACTCCGTTGTCACACCGGCTCGAAAGATATCCCAAGAGCTGTCGTCGCTGGCTACCATGGCATGACTAGCCTGCCACTGGTCAGCAGCCTTAAGAGGTATTTTGTGTACCAAAAAATCGGCTATTCAAGCATCTCCCGTGAGAAACATTTGGCCAGGCTAGACATACCGTTGAGCTGTTTTGGAAAAATCCTTGGGTCAAATTGTTCTCTCCCCCCCCCCGAGCGCGTGTTAACACTCGCCCAGGTGGCCGGCTCGAGTGGGTGGGGTGGGGGGGGGGGGGGTCAATCTGACCCCGCTAGATCTCGGGAACTAAGAGAGCTAGAGACACCAAATCTACAGGGTGTGTTGACTTGCACATGAACTCACTTAAGTCAAAGCTGGAGGTTCCTAGGTTATGACCTTTGGGTCAAACAAGATCAAACAAGGTCAAATTCCAGGTTGGTCTCCAAAGTGCCCCCAGAACCTAGACAAGTGTTTCTAAGCAAAAGTTCGCATGCTCCGTTAAGGCCAGTGACCTTGTTTTACCTTTTCAAGGTCATGGTGACCAAAGTCATATAAGACTGCTCTGAGCTTTGCATTTGAATAACCGACAGAGATTACACTAGGAAGTATGTTCCTAAAAAAACAAATGCTGATCTGGGTCATTTTAGGTCAATAACCTATTCTAATCTCTACGAAGTCCATAGAGGATGTAGAATGCGGTTCCTGCTATCAATAAATTCGAAATAAGCGCCGGAAACTAAGCCATACAGCAAGCTCTATGGTAATCAAACAGATTGGTTTTGACTTTGGTCTAGCGTTCATACTTGACCTTAGGTCAATGTAATTTTCTCATTCGATTGTTGTGTTGCCAACGAAAGCATCTCAGAGATGTATGGCTTCGTCTAAGGCTCCGTTGCTGCATCAGATTGAACGATTCCCTGGAAATTGACTTCGCTGAAACCATAAGCTGACTTTGATCTGCCATAGGTCAGCGACCTTACTAGATACATCTAAATTCTTGACCCCAAACGATTCACTGTTCAATTATCCACAGCTCAGTGAAATTGGCGTGGCTACGCCGCGCCGTTTGGAAACCATTCCGGAAAAATCTTCGGGGGTTGGGTCAATTTGACTCTCCCACCCGAGCGCGTGTTAAAAAGACCCCCCCCCCGAGAGTCGAGAGCTGGATGATTTTTTCTTACTCGTCGGTTTCTATACAACAATTGCTGCAGAGTGGATTGTAGATAACGTTTTGGGTTGACCAGTTGTTTATGCCGAAAAGCGCCTGAAATGTCTGCGAAAGACTGTAGGCAAGATTTCAGCCCACTCTGAAAAGTTATCTTTGGGGCCCGGGGAAATTTTTCACGCAACGTCAGGCGTCGCAATCTCGTATTCAAGCGCATATTCTTTTACGTCAAACACCAGCTGCAAATTCTTCGCAACAAACGTCGACAGATAAAGCTCGTGCCTATAGACAAAAGTTCTACAAGACACTGCTTCTGCACGATACAAATTACCCGGGGCAATGTCCCTGCAGGACTTTGCTTCCGCTGGCGAAATGTTTATGCGAAAAGCTTCTACGCGCCAACTCCTCAATATACATAACTTTTGCACATCACTCCTCCACGACTGAGCCGCTACAGCCAAAACAAAATTCATAAGACGCTACTTCTGTAGATATGTCGTTTGCTTTCAAACACTCAACACTACACAAATTTTACAGACAAACCACATGTCAAAACTTCAACGATCAAAACTTAACATGGCATCACTCCAGATCGACGAAATACGTAGGGATAAATCTTGCGCTGACAAAATGCACAGGGCGAAATTTCCAGGTTGACAGCTTTCCAGCCGCAAAAGGTTGTGACAAAGAACAAAACCACCACACAGGACTGCTACCAAAGCTGGAGGCTTAACAGCAGCCCAGCAACCACTTACACTGCAACGTTCACAAACCGTAACGTCCCCAGGCATGCCTTACTGCTGCGCACGCGGGTATCCTACCCACCATCGTAACCATCGTAACCGCGAATAATTTGTTCCCCGGTGGCGCCTCGCACCATCATTTTGCATGTAGAGCCCTGCTGAAAGAAGTGTAACAGCTCCAAAGGTCACCGAAAGCCGCGCGTGCCGGGCAGGAAGTGCACCAAACGTCTGAGTGGCGCCCTTCGACCACCTGTAGCCATGAAAGTTTTGGCTGCAGATATTTTTGCCCGTGAAAACGTGGAGTGGATTTTTGAAACAATTCGGATTAACCATTTAACCATGTGGATTTTAGCATGGCAATCTAGTCGTGTGGAAACAATGTCGAGCAGACGTTTTGTGATTAGAAGCTTTGTCGTGCGGGAATTTTGTCCGTGAAAGCAGAGGTGCAGTCACCAGGGGAGACGAGGGGGGGGGGGGTCCTCGGGTTCCCTGGATAACTAAAATGTTTAAAGGGGCCCAGCAAGGCTCGAAAGTTACAAGCAAGTACAACCTTCCTCAAAACATCGATTCTAAGCGCATGTGAAGGGTTGTCACGACACGTGGTAATTCGTCTATGCATCGCCATATTATGAGTACTAAGCAGGTCTACATACCATGAGGGCTATGTGCCTTCCAATCAAAATGAGCATAGAGAAAATACTATCAGCGCATTTCAGCCGCGGTTTTTCCAAATAGATGCCCTCGATCCCTAAGCTTTTTTACCCATTCAAAGTACCTACTTCGTTGGTGGTGCACCCATTATTTCGCCAAAGGTTGGGCTGAATTCAATCAGGGAGACCCTGTCAGCCAGGGCTCCCCTCTTTACAGCCCATATGAACCCTCTTTTTAATTCGGTCCCCTTTTCGACCCAAAGGTCCTTTTCCAATGTCTCGGGGGCAGGGTGGTAAGGGAGGGGCAGGCTAAGTACAGGTTCTGCATGGTACAGACACCTTCATTGGTGTACCAAAAACACCCCACCCACAAATGTTCCATCCTACCCTTCCATGTAGATTGTGTGGGTCCATTTTGCAGGTTTGGGGCACTTTAAGGAGTGCGAGTATTCCGTGGGGCGATAAGCCCTCATAATTTTTGGGCGTTGAAGGAGCCCATGGAATGTCCGAAACCCCCAAATAGTCACATGGACAGCATATCGGACGTTCGTGGCATCGAAACAGGACCCTAGAGTCTCAACAGAGGACCACAAACTAAAAATAGGGCCTGCTGATCTACAAGTAGGGTCCGCTTGGCCCGATTTCCTTCCCTTAAGTAAAACCCTGTGCACGCTACCACGCACCCTTCACTGACAAAATTAAATTTATTTCAACCTTGGGGCCCCACCACCTCCAAGGGGAGAGGCGATACATGGCTCAAGCTCTTCCCAAGGAAGACCGGGAGGAAGGGTGTTCTGCGCTGTGGGTGCCGTGGAATCCGCACAGCTTCCGCGGGAATCCACGGCGGGCTGCTGTGCCGAGGGAAAATGAAAGTCCGCGCTATGCTTTGCATAGCGCGGACTTAGGTATGGGTATGGTATGTTAGGTATGTTAATCGTGTCAGTTGTCAACTGAACGTCTATCGCGATTGCAGTTTTGCTAGGATATTAGGTGCTGGATAACACACACCCTTGGGAGTGCCCAATGGCCTCCAGCAGGATCGCGGTTGTGACTGGAGCAGGCTCAAGGACAGTCTCCAAACGCAACATTGTTCATCATGCATAGCGCACAGGAATTCCTATTAGAGTAAGAATTGCACAGCATTCTGTGCGTGAACGAGAGCCTTTCTTCGTAGATTACTGATGTCTGACATCTATGGCCACACCCGCACTGTACGCCACCCATGCGCCACAGCTCCGTCGATCAAATGTCTAGTCCTGTGTACCGCACCCATGTCACATCAGCTTTACAAGGTCACAAAACCACTGAACCCTCCGGGTGATCGACTTTGCATTCGTGGTCTGCATCTGATGCCCGATGGCGGAATATCACGCTATAAAAGGGTGCTTCTAAATGAGCCCAAACGTACTGTTTGGTGGGGCTCCGAGATCTGTTGAACATC